CTAACCCCACCCCCCTAAAACCTAAAACGGTCAGACAATCGGCGCTTAGTTTTCGTTGCCTGCGCTGCCGTCCGATCAAGGGTCGCAGCGTTCGGCGGTGTAGGGAGTGGCGCTGTCGCCCGTGAATTAGGTCGCAACGCCTACACGGAGGCTCCGCCTGCTGCACCACGTGTAACGAACGCCTCACACTGACGACATAAATCCTTGTTCACCTTTTGCTTTGGACCTGTTGCCAAAAGCCTACACAACAACGTAGGGCCTCACCGAGGGGGTGGCAACTCCTCATGCCCGTAGCGGAAGAAAACTCCTTTCTCCGGGGAATAATGTTAGGTTCCCTTGTTAGTGAGGGACGCTAACATAGGCTGGAACCACGGCTCATCAGGTAAGTAAGGACACATGAGTGTAATGGCTGCCTCATCCGCAATATCTTCAGCGAGAACGCACGGAAATCGCAATCCCAAGGGGGGTTGACGCAGAAGTTCAAGAATGTCCATAGCTCAGTGAACTCAGAGGCACCACCTCCAGAAAGGGAGAGAAGTATTTCGGCAGTAGGTTGTCACCAGAAAGGACGAAAGTATCATGAGTATGCGGGTTCTTAGCCTTTCCGCTTTAGTAAAGTGCGTATGGTTGGCCATGTACGCGTTGCTGTACGGAGGGCCGAATAATCGGTTTGCCGAAAGGGCACCAACAGGGTCCATTCAGGGGTCAGCCTTCGTTGCGAGTCGGCTCAGTAGATCCACTGTGCCATTGTCCTTGCTGTGCACGTGCAAGAAATACACATCTCGATCACGGCACACCTCCTGCCATCTGGCTTGACGCCGACCCGCGGGTCACCTGGAAAGAACTCTCTGTATCAAAGGGTTAGCATGGCCTGGTGATCGATGAAAATCGTAATCGGGTAGTGCGAGTCGACAAACACCGCCCAGTGCTTGTGGAACCCATAAACTTGTGCTAGCCACTCTTTATCCGTCACATGGCAGTTAAGCAGAGCGGCGGAAAACTTCGACGAGAAATAAGCTACTGATCAGAGCTCTCCATTTCGGAGAACGTGTATAGCCCTCGGAAAGATCAATATGCTCACATACATCCGTGAATTGGTACAATCGAGCACCGCACATATCTCTAGCCGTGTATTAATAGTGTTGAATACTTTCTGTTGGGCCGCGTCCAACTTGACACGGGCACGATACCATTCTTTGAAAGAGCTGAGATAAGCTTAAGGATGAGAAAGAAAGCATCGATTTGCCGCTGCCAGAACGCCAGAGTGTGATACCATGACCGGACGATCCAGGACGATCCCTTCCAAGGAGAGCAGTCAACCTGTCCGCAGAGATAGTGACGCCCAACTTTTAGGGCGCTTGTATTACCCAACGCGTACCTTCGACAGGCCGAATTGGATGTCGTACTTGCCACAGCGCTCGAAGAACGCTATGAGCTGATTTTCATGCTGCGACGCATCTACCGATGTGAGGACAATGTCGGCAATATACGACTTGATGATGCCTTTGAGTCCTTCAAAAATGGTGATCCAGTGTTTCCTGGAACCTCCACGAAACTTCGGTGATTCCAAACGGAAGGGCAAGGTGCCTCACGAGGTCTAGAAAGTCGAAATATCTTGACCTTGCCGTTCTAACGGGATTTGATTTAACCCATTCCCGCAGTCCACAACTGAGACCGACGGCTTGCCAGCTACATGCCCAAACATCTCACCCTCCGTGAAAATGTTGAACAGTTTCTGCTTCTGCTTAAGCTTCGCCTTTCACTTAGCAAAGTTCGTGCAGAAACGCCAACCGTCCTTGGTCTGAAGGGTAACCCTGGGGGTTTTAATTACCATCAGGGACTTGACGGACCATAGGACCTCTTCATCCTCTTGCATTGCAATCATCGAGCGGAAGGTTCTCATGGCTACCATTCCTGTGGTGATTACTGCGTATGAGAGGTAGTTGCTGCTTGTTGGGATAAGGTTGGTGGTTCTGCTGTTCACCACCACCTTTGGCGCCCTTTCGCTGGTGGTCATTGCCATTTCGATTGCCATTACCACCCTTAGGGCACCCAGCTGCTGGTTAGCCCCTTGGGCATTCACCTTCGTGCTGCGGCCACCCTTAATTTTGATGTAATCAACCATACAATGCCCAGGACTGCTGAAGCCAAATAAATTTAAAACGCCATGTGCCTCATTCAGCAAACCCCGCCGCTGACAACACATGCTGCGTGTGTCTAGATATTAGTGAGAATCTACAACCTTGATCTGGTCATTGACTTCCTCAACGACCTTCTCCAATAACGCCGGGTCGGCAATCGCCTGAGTTGGCAAGATGCCAAGGTTCTACGGCCTGAAGGGTTGAAATTTGCAATTTTATAGGTGCTAAGAACCAAATGTGAAATTTCCGCTGCTTACTCTGTATAAATTGTGTGCAAGTGAACAGTTTTATGCAACAAACTGAGATTGTGTAATCCATACTAAATTCATTTCAACGCTGTTACAAATAATCTATTCATATAAATCAGGTCTCCCGTCGTAGTACTGGCTAAGCTCGCAGCATTTTGACTTTCGGGGCCAGACGGAACCGAGCATATGTTTTGCTGAATACGGCCGTAGGAAAGAGTCAATGTTAGCATTCTGTGTATATATGCCCATTTACGTTTGGAACTAATGGTATTTACTTTGTACTGCAAACATACACATATACGAATATAGTTATCTTATGCACGTAGCATATTCTATTTTCAGTGATTTTCCTAATCTACTGAATTTCTTTAAAACCTAGTCAGACACACGTGTTGGAATTCTCAAAGTTCGTAAGTATCGGAATTTTTAATGTCCATGTGTCAAAATTCTAAATGTCATAGTTTGTAGTTCTTAGTATCTTTTAAGATTTATCGCTGAGCAATTCCAATATAGAAACTTATGCACCGTTTTTCAGCATCATGCAGAAGTTTAGGGTATCAAAATATGAAAACTTTTGTCCCCTTTTCAGCAATTTATGTCAAGACTTGTAGACCTATAAAAGCATGCCACGTGTTGTCACTGAATGAATGCGATACGGAGACGTACGTCCCATTTTCACCAGTATGAAAAACACTTAAAATGTGATAGTTTGTCGCTGCTTGATTGCAACAAGGACACTTTTGCCCTGTATGATAACAAATGAATTATAAGCCATCTATACAACAGACTATAAATTCAGATAGTAAAAAATATAAAACCTCTTGTCTCATGAGGAATACCGTTGAGAAACACATATAAAGGTGTAAAAAAAAATACATTTATTTAATATGTTTAGAACTCTTATCCATTCACTTCAATGCTGTTATCTCAATTCACATATAATATCTCTTGAGTTCATAACCCAAAACACAATTTTATTGAAAATTCATTTAAAAAAGAAGGATTGATTATTATAATTATTAATAATAATAATAATAAAATGTTAGATGATATAACATGTAAATAGAATATTCTAGGCGGGCATTGAAATATTCGTATTGTTGCTAATGAAAATGAGGGTCAATGGTGAGAAAGAAGATATGTCAATATACGTGATACGTTAAAGCATTTATACAAGGTATAAAGCATTTTGTGTCAATACACATATACCACCTATCAACGATAGTGATATATAATTCACAAGGGAGTGAACCACCACATACTATGCGTGTACAAGCTGATATACAACAGAACAGAAACACGCTTGTAATAAGCCCGTGCTACGGAGGAAATACAAATATATACGATAACATATATGTTCGCCTTTTGACAATTTGCAGGGGTCCGAGCAGACCTTTGACTTATGACCATATTGTTGATAACACAAATCAGCGCGGGGTAAGGTTTAGGACACAGGGGTTGCGGAGCAGCGTCTATATCGGACCGGAAATTCCAATCAAGATACTAACAAGGCATACACTAAATATAAAGACATGTATGAATTATACTTGATACACAAGGGACGACAAGCCTTAAACATGTAAATTTCTTTATGTATTGGTTAAAATCTGCATGTAGCATTAGACCCACATAGTTTGACGCTTAGCCACGTATGCATCAAATATATTGATAAAGTGTAAACGCATCGCTCAATTCAAACTATAATTTAATGCAACAAAATCAACGGGACTCTTTTGATGTTGAATATGTGTATACGGTCTACAAGTAAACAGCAAAAGTGTCTAGACATCTATTCACATGGTAAAAATGTGTCTAGATATCTAATCACATGGCTACATAAATTGGCAGACATACAGCATGCTTCGGATGAGCACATGCATATAGGCTGTACACACACGTACATTTCAAGTACACGGGTATTTTTGAGTAATATATGAGTCGACATACTTTCAATACTTACCGCGCGGATAAAAGATCAATTTTTTTGTAAAAAAGCCTTCATACTAAATTCTTTATCTGATGTTACTACCTACCTATATACATATCCATCAAACTCTATCTCGGGAAAATCCTCCTCGTCACTTAAACCCTCAGAGGGATCAATTCTACCTTCCGTCGAATTGTCAGCTGACATCGGACTGCTCTCTGCCAGTGCAACCAGTGTCGCTTCACGTTTTATATTCTTTTCCTTTTTGCTTCTCTTTTGCTTTTTGCTTTTCTTTCCCCCCCTTTTTTTAGTAGCTCTATCCATGGCCCCATCGACACACTCACTGCTGCTTTCCTTACTTCCAGAATGCTCGCTAGTGGATGGTGTGTGGCCATTCTTCGCAGCAGTCACTTCATCGCCGACCGTGCCGTTTCCGTCGCTCGTAGTATCAATCTTTCGCTTCCGGCTAGAGATTGATTTGTTTTCGGTGGTGCTTCCGCTAGTAGCTATTTCGGGTATAATGGTTTTGCTTTTTGTGCGTTTTTCCTGGAAAGAAGCATGCGCACTATCCATATCAACGGTTTGCTTGCAAGCGTCTAAATTGGCCGATGCATCGGTAGCTTTATCTTGTGCGTAATCCCTTGCTTTACCCTTGACAACGACAGATGCCCCATTGTATTTACTGGTGGCTGCCGTCTGCTTCTGACGCAGCACGTGTATAACACAACTGCCTGCCCCCGTGCGCTGATACTTTGGGGCTAGTTCGGTGGTTGGCACTTCCGAGCGTGTGAAGTGCTTGGCCGTTGATTCTGTGTAAAACTTTGTTTCCGCCAGGGGATGGTGCACCGGATATCTGAGAGGGTGAACGGCAAGTCACATGATAATGTTACTATGGCATCTGACTATGCACACTCGCGCCGTTTACCAGTGGTGACAGATATTGCGCAGGCGCTGCGCAGCATCTGCACTCGAGTACGTTCCTAGACAGAGGATCGGTACGCTATGACTGACAAAGTGGTTCGCAATATTTATGCATGGTCGACATTGTATGTGCAATGACACATCGGGTGACATGGGCAAATGTGCGATGGTGTTATATAGAAATGAGCGGATCAATCACCACTCATCGAAGTGAAGCTAAAACCCTAAAATTGTAGCTCGGCATACCAAGCCATGGTAATGTGGAAATAGATTGTTGAAAAGGGCCGCAAGCGTTGTTGATGAATCTTAGGGGCAATCCACTGTGATCAAGCACCTTATGACTTCGCACACATACATACACTGCGAGTAATACTGAGCATGAGTCAAAGACATCATGTGCGTGCATACCCCTCAGACGACTACGAAGGCTATCAAATGTAAATACAAACTATAAATGTAGTTCAAATGTGTGCCAACGTACACCTCTGCACTTCAAAGGCATCATGTGTGTGCATACCCCTCCGACGACTACAAAGGCTATCGAATGTAAATGCAAACTATAAAGGTGATTCGAATGCGCGGCAACACACACCTCTGCACATTCGCCAGCAGCACGAGCGTATTGGGTCCACTGAGTGCCACCAGTGTCCGCACCAGCTTGCGCCACTGTTTGGGATCGTTGCCATAGACCACATCACTGGCCAGGATGAGGTCGGGATGGCGGCCAGTGCCATCTGACACGGTGTGCAGAGCTTCTTTATCACCCCACACCAGTTTCTCCACTCGCGCATCAGTGCAGCCGTTAGATGACATGTTGTCGCGCAACAGTCGCAACACATCGTCGTCTCCTGATGCGTGGAGAGGTTGGTAGGTTTAAGATAAGAGGAGTGGACGCCAAATACGGATAGCACTGAAGCCGGAGACATATTTGTATAGTTTATGCTTGCTCTTAGGTGTAACACAGGCCAAGATGTTACTCCTAAAACCTGAACCCTGAAACAAGAATAGTCCTGAGAATGATACGGTACAATAAATTATGTTTGCTTGTTCGAATTGCAGCATACCCCCAAAACAAAGTATAAACATACAACTGATACCCACAATGTCTCTGATGTCGTGTTATATATCACAGGAACAAAGAATAAATATACAACTGATACCCACAAGGTCTCTGATGTTGTGAAAGTATATCACAGTGACATATTCTGTACCACCTACCGTCAGTTGCCACCATTCGGATCCCTAGGTTAGACGCGACTATAGATGGCAGCCCAAGACCTGCGCCAATCTCTACACCTGTCCTGCCCTGCCACACCACCGCACCGCCACTGGAATTGGAGTGCTCCGCGTCTGCGTTCCCCTCCACACCCTGACACGTCTTGCCATCCACGCGCATCTCACGCGCACTCCCATCCCACGCACCCTGCAGAGCGCACCGCAGTGCCGGTGAGGCCAGCGGATGGGCCACACGAGACAGCCACTCGGCCAACACGTGGCTGCCCTCCCACAGCGTCACGCCTGTGTTGCCTCTGCCATGGCCTCCGCAGTTGTTGTCCACGCGAGTGCGCACAGACCCTTCGTGGTCCTTGGGCGTCTCACTGGTCAGTGTGATGGTGTTGCCCAGAGCCGGGAATTCGTACTCAATTGTGCGCTTGGAAGTCACGGCCGTTGTTAATTCAGAGTCTGCACCTCCCATGCGCTCATAAGCGCCTACATACAATCCATAAGGCCATGTGGTGAGTAAACGAACACGTGACCATAAGCAGCGCAAGCAGCCAAGACGACATACATAACAGAGTTCCATAGCTTCCTTGCTGATTAAGTGTCCTTGAAAACAAGTCAATAGAGATTAAACGCTCACAAGCACGGGTGAAACGCCGTACATTCTACACACACTGATGTTCTGGATTTGGTTCATGTGTGCATGAAGGGGATAAAACGGTTCCGCGATAAGGTACCTCTGTATTATATATATATAAAAATACAATAGTACGCACATCTACAGAGCAAGCTGATACATAAGCCTACTGCATAACTATGGCAGCCGACCTTACAACGCCAACACACCACAAGCAAAATATACATCAACACACCACAAGCAAGATATACACCCCATAATCCTCTCAAAGAGTCAACACGAGTTATTCTTCCAAAAAATCAGCAATATATACATCAACACACCACAAGCAAGATACACACCCCTATATTTTCTCAAAGAGTCAACACGAGTTATTCTTCCAAACAACAACAAAAAACAACAACAATGAGTTGCATAGAATACACGGAACCATTTGACACACATTAGACTTCTAGCACTCACCGAGGAATTTCAGAAGCTCCTGTGAATTGAATGCACTGAGGCGGTCCCGGGCGGCTTTGCTGATGCGTGCCACCAGTTGCGGGTGGCCGTCAGCCGTCAGCCCCAGCTCACACAGCGCCCACGTGGTGTTGGTTAAGTCGCGCGGGTTGTAGTCCTGCAGCAGACACGCGGTCACGCGCACTGCTTCGGCGATGAAGGTTTGGTCTCTGATGTTCAGCACCGCAAAGGCGAACAGCAACATGGTCAGGTGCTGTGGCGTGTACTCGCTCGCGTTGTCCCTTTTCCCTTTTTTGAACTTTGGCTCATAATCCGCATCTACGGTCACGCGCTTCAACTGCCTCACACCCACACTCGACAGCACTTTAAACAGGTGCGGCGCGCGCACATCCAGCTTTGCGTACGCCCATGCCAGAAAGGCCACGTCTCGCGGTTCCTTATCAAAGTCACTGGTGCATGTCACTGCCCGTTCCGCAAAGACTGTCATCATGCGGTCGTTCTTCAGACCAACCTTTGCCATCGCATGCGTCGCCGTCGCCATCTGCTGGGCCGTGGCTGTGTCAGCTTTCTGGGCTGCGCAAGTGGCCAGCGTATTGAACACACTGTGATTGGCACAGGTGAGCGTCATGAACGCCCAAAGCACCATTGACAGTTCCTGCGAATTCATGCGCGCGCTGACGGCCTCGCACGCGCTTTCCAGCGTAGCCATCAGCGGCGCATTGGCGCTTAAGCCCAGCTTAGCAGCAGCCCACGTGACATTGGTGATCTGCTGGGCCGTGAAGGCATTGGCCGCCACCCACTGCGTGTCGTGGATGAGGCGTGTGGTAAGGTGGCTGATGCCTTCGCTGCACTGTGTTGTTGCGTCAGTGTGCTCCTGCAGCTTTGCAAATCCATAGAGCGTGTTGGCACACTCCTGTGCATTGAACAGCTGCGCGCGTTCTGCCACGGCAGAGGACAGCGCCGGCAGCACATCAGTCACCGCTGCCGTAGTGCGCACGCCCCATTCGCCAAACGACGCCAAACTCCACACCACATTACTCACTCCCTGCGGCGTCCACCCACTGCGGAAGTCTGTGCCTTTGTCCCTTCGCAAAGACGTGGCAATGTGCTTCGCTAAGCCTTGCACCAGGCCCGTTCGTTGCGCAGTGGTCTTGGCCATGCCCCACAGCATGTTGCTGAGCTCCTGCGGTTTGAACTCCTCAAAGTGCTGCAGAGCCGCGTGTTGCACACTCTCCTCGAGCGGTTCATTTCTGATTCCTAATTTGCCGCATGCCCAGAGCAGCCCCGACAACTGCAAAAGAAGGGCAAAAAACTGTGTTAAGGTTTTGAGATGGACGATAATGCTGACTGACTACGTGGCGTTTCCATGGCAATATCAATTCTACTAAAATCCGCTGGTCAAATTCCGCCTCAACACGGCGCTGCCTTGGGCGCGTGCTATGTTACGTTCAGCACATGCAGCATCCACTCCTTTGTAGCCTCAAGTACGCGATGTCAATGCTGGCTGTGAAACTTAGTCATAGAGCGAGGTGGCAATAGCAGCAACCACTGACATGATCACAGACTAATTAGGTTTGCATACAGAGGAAAAAACCCTCAAGATCTTAGATTTGAAATTTTTGCGTATTACTTCCGCTGATACAATATAAATACGTAATACATGCATATGAGTACGAAATGCATGCATATGGGTACATAATACATGCATATGAGTACATAATATATGCATATGAGTACGTAATGCATGATTATGAGTACATAATACATGCATAAGGGTACATAATACATGCATACGAGTATAAACACTTGTACATGACCACATAATATACGCATATGAGTATACAATACATGAATATGACTACATAATACATGCATATGAGTACATAATACATGCATATTAGTACACAATACATGCATATGGGTGCGTAATGCATGCATATGAGTACGTAATGCATGCATATAAGTACATAATACATGTATATGAGTACATGATACATGTATATTAGTATATCATATATACATATGAGTACATAATACACGCACGTGACTACATATTACATGCACATGAGTACATACATAATACATGCGTATGAGTACATAACACATGCATATGACCACATAATACACGCATATGAGTATATAATACAAGCATATGTGTATATAATACAAGCATATGTGTATATAATACATGCACATGACTACATAATACATGCATATGAGTACATAATGCATGCAAATGAGTACATAATGCATGCATATGAGCATAATACATGCACATGAGTACATAATACATATATATGAGTACATAGTACATGTATATGAGTAAGTAATGCATGTATACGAGTACATATTATATACACATGAGTACATAATACATACATATGAGTACATAATACATGGATATGAGTACGTAATACATGCATATTAGTACATAATACATGGTTATGAGTACGTAATGCATGCATATGAGTACAGAATACATGGATATGAGTACGTAATCCATGTACACGAGTATATATTACATACACATGAGTACATAATACATACATACGAGTACATAATACATGCATATGAGTACAAAATAAATGCATGAGCACATAATACATGCAAATGACTACATAATACATGCATATGAGTACATAATACATGCATATGAGTACGTAATGCATGCATATGAGTACATAACACATGCAAATGTCTACATAATATATGCATATGAGTACATAATGCATGCAAATGAGTACGTAATGCATGCATATGACTACGTAATGCATGATTATGAGTTCATAATACATGCATATGAATACATAATACATGCATATTAGTACGTAATACATGCATATGGGTACGTAATGCATGAATATGAGTACGAAATGCATGCATATGAGTACATAATACATGTATATGAGTACATGATACATGTATAGTAGTACATAATATATGCATATGAGTACATAATACATGCACACGACTACATAATACATGCACATGAGTACATAATGCATGCATATGAGTACATAATACATGCACATGACTACATAATACATGCATATGAGTACATAATACATGCATATGGGTACGTAATGCATGCATATGGGTACATAATACATGCATATGAGTACGTAATGCATGCATATGGGTAGATAATACATGCATATGAGTACGTAATGCAGGCATATGAGTACATAATACATGCATATGAGTACGGCATGCATGCATATGAGTACATAATACATGTATTTGAGTACATAATACATGCATATGAGTTCAGAATACATAGAAATTATTAGCTGATCCAATGCATGTATGTATCAGATATAAGAATACGATGTTGCAAAGCAGCAAGCTAGTACTAAGCTTAAACTATATGAGAACAGTTGTACCATACAGGCAGATAGATCACATATACTAATGTGAAGCGAATGAAAGCATGGAATACAATTTCATCGTATATACACTACACACACACCCATGAGATTATACTATATCAATGATACCAGTTTACTTTTACGCATCCCCATTCGTGCATCATATTAAAACATAGTACACACACACACGCACACACACACACACACACACACACACACATATATATATATATATATATATATATATATATAGACGTACTGCAGTGGCTAGCTCTACACACCTGCCTAGCCTCGCAGTCCTGCGGGTTGGTTTGGATGTGATGCGCTGCTTTGAGAAGTAGCGGCTGCACATCATATGAACTGTTGGCGTTGAAGTCGCGCGCTTTAGCCAGTCTCTGCAACGCAGTGGCACAGTTGATGAGGTTGAAGTCATCTAATGAGCTGTTGATTACACCGAATATGCTGCGAGCGTCGTTCAATGTGGCGAGGCTTTTGTTGTAGCCCATCTGTGACTTCGACACCGATCCTCCGGATTTACGCGGAGCAACGTTGCCATGACGACCCGTTCTCGCGTTCCCATGGTGTACCCCATTGTGATTCGCTCCGCCCTGTGCACCCCGATGCGACCCAATATGTTGCGAGTTCATGTGATGTGCACTGTTGTGTTGTGTACCTTGCAATGTAGCTTTGCTTTCTGTATTTGTCTGAGGCGGTTTATTGTGTGTGTTATTCGCTCGACCTTTGTTAGGACCACCACGCGTTCGTGGCACGATGCTTTTGCGACCCATCGCCAAAGTGATGATAAAAAATGGCGAGTTCTCGCTGGCAAACTGCTGCTATTACCAAAACGTTCGCATGCTAATACACATGTCTCACGCATATACACCTAACACCACTGCTACACTGCAACGCACTCTCGTGTGACACTCTGTAGCTTTATATTAGTTATAGTATTTAAATATGTCAGCCTATTCAACGCGAGGTGCACGTGCAATCTCTGTCATCGAGTGCGCCAAAATAATCACTTGCCTAATCTGGACATTCTCGACATCATCGCCTATTTTCAAGTATGTTTCCCCAAAAGGCCCAGAGTCCCAGACTCCCAGAGAGAGGAAGATCCGTAAATACACTTGTCATAATATTTTAAAATACATCTGTAGTCACCAAGCACTTGCGCAGAAGATAGAATATAAAGGTAAACGTACAGGTAAATGCACGCAAGTGATCCTACAAACACACACAAGTGTCACAAGTCATCATACAAATACACACAAGTGATCGTGGCTTATTCGCAATCACCCGTTCACAATGGCACGAACTCTTGTGACACAGGCCTTTAGGCTTAGTATAGGTTTACCCTCTACCCCATGGAATCACACTCGGTACAGTGTATTTACAAGGCTCAGTGCGGCACAGGCACATTCTGGCCGCACACTCACCTCCTGTGCACACACCCCGTCAAACAATGAAACAGACGAGTTCACACGACACAGCAAACACTACACAGTACGAGCCATTGGGCGCAAGAGTGCGTGTGAGATCACCTGCAACACAGGCCACACACTGGCCACCGACGTCCCAAAGACAATGGGCGGGTCCGATGCCGCACCCCAACCGGTCGAGCACTTACTGGCAGCACTGTGTGGGTGCGCACAGGCCACGGCGACTTTCGTGTCACGCATGATGACGCCCAGAGTGGCCATTGACCGCATTGAGTTCAATGTGCGTGCCACGAGAGACAGCAGGGGGGCCCTTCAGCTGCCCATTGACGCTGTGCCCGATGTGCCGTCGCGTTTGCACACAGTGGAAGGGACGGCAACGGTGGTCATGGCTCAGGGGAAGGCAATGACAGCGCGGCAGTTGCAAATTTTTGGTACTCAGGTGGAGGCTAGATGTCCTGTGGCCAATATGCTGCAGGCCAGTGGCTGTCGCTTACGATTCGAGTGGGTGGCAGAGAGTGCCTGAATGGTCGCACCTTTGAATGCACTGAATGGGGTGGCGTGACGTTATAATGACATGTGGCTGTTTGTTCTCATTCGATTGCAAGGGCGTGCGAAATATAGCGTTAGAGTCTTGAGTCTCATTTATATTTGGCATCACTCGTGCCCGGGCCCTATTGGCCGAGTGCCTGACCTCACTACGAGAACCATAGCACTAGAGATATTCAACCGCAGCTACTGTGTGTTGCCTTTCCGGGGCAAAATGCACAATGGCGTGCACGTGCAACTCTTGTACTTTCGGCAGTTGTTGCTTGCGTAGTGGTAGTTGTTAGTGTAACATCTGATGATCTGCCTGTGTAACATCTAATGGTCTGCCTGTGTAACATCTAATTAATCTGCCTGTGTAAAATCGAATGATCTGCCTGTGGTGATGTGCAGACAGGTGCCACTGCGGTTCTGAGTGTTGCAGGAACGAAAGCACCTGCACCAGATGTCATTCCTATCGAACCAATGCGCTGTGTTTGGATTAACTTTGTCAGTAACTTCTATCGACATCCATGGGCTGGAGCTGCTCTATCGAGGTGCCCATAAAGGTAAATCAAATATATGTTAGAAGGCAGGCACAGCACCCCAGGTGTATCTGTCCATACGCCTAGTTAGACGGTTTAGCGTTGGAGCTGTACAATTGCACAGAGAGGACAATCTAAGAATCAATCGAACGACATGTCACCTCAGTGCGATGTGTTCAATAAAGTGCCCACAAGTCAGTACCCTCATCTTCCACTGCGTGTTTATTTTTTATACGTGCATATAACTACCCTCCTGACTTGTTCGCATGTGATTTTCACGTCTAGATATTCATATATATATGTACGACGGATGTATGTCTACAAGTATATGAACATAACGCATAAGCAACGATGTGCTCGTGTTTATCTTAATATGTGAGCACAAGGTTTTGATTCTTCAGAGTCTTCAGTGTGTAAGGCCACAACTGATCACGAACAAAACAAGGACTTGACCAAACTATTGTGTATAGGTGTATAGATATATATATATACTACAGGTGTGGTACGACAACATGTATGTAGCTGAATGACGATACGAATTTTGATATTGACTCATACTGTGGAGTGATTGATTGAAAAGGTTGTTGTTGCTGCCCATGACAAGATTCAATAAAGTACAGTTTTATGCAATAGATGTATAGATAACCAATAAATACATAGATAATCAATACATACATAGATAACCAATACTTATATAGATAACCAATACATACATAGATAACCAATACATACATAGCTAAAAAACCTATATATGCCAGAGGTGGCATATCCCCTGAATGCGAGAACGGTGGATATCTGTAGCAACGATGTACTAGTGCGAGACTACAATCTATGTAGCACAGTATGCATACGCACTATATGACATAGTATGCATACCTACTATCTAACACATAGTATGCATACCTACTATATAACACATAGTATGCATACCTACTATATAGCACAGTATGTACACCTACTATATAACACATAGTATGCATACGCACTATATAGCATATAGTATGCATACCTACTATATAACATATAGTATGTATACCTACTATATGACACATAGTATGCATACCTACTATATAACACATAGTATGTATACCTACTATATAGCACAAGGTATGCATACGCACATAGCTAGGTGTACCAACGATGTAACATCGCTACATTGGGATATCCTCTGCCCCTCGAGTGGAGTGACCGATAACGGCAGTAGAATTGGTCGTCACGCGCACTATTTGATTGCAGGATGAGAGTCAGCTATTATGCTGCAAAGGACATCGCGCCACCGTCGTAACGCGCTTTCGAGATCACCGATTGGTATTTGCATCACCGTATCCGAATGAATCAGTTTTTAGGCACATGGAAACATGGTATGACTTCACAAACGTGTAAAACGCTAACTATCATCTTCAATATCAACTAAGAACGATCAAATCACCTAAGCTACACGTGCTTGTGCTTGTAACATACATTCGTTGGCTCAGGTCCATCTATCTGATTGCTTGTCCTCCGTTTATTATCTTACTTTAAACACCGGCTAATATACATACGATTGACGAATGAATTTCAGTATGCTATATTGGTCATACAAAGTCAATTTAACAGGGATCGAAAACGTCGTATCGACAAAATCCGGAGCTGAACGCAAACAAGTGAGAACCAATCGAGCAGATATCAGCAATGCGAGTAAGCGGTACCACTTGACCTCGGCCTCTCTGTCAGACACTCACATTAATACTTTTGATAACATTTCAACCACATCTGACATAGAGCGTACATGCATCATGGCCAACTACCCAATCAAGTCAAGTACTATTATAAACAAGTCAAGTCAAGCACAAATATAAACCCAAATTATATAAACCCATGATATATAAACCCATGATTACAACCACTCGTACTAACATTCTATCTCAAGAACCCCATGCACTATGATGACCAAATACTCAAGCACTAATAAAAACAAGTCTCGTCAAACACAAATATATCCCAAATTATATAAACCCTTGGTATTTAAACCCGTGATATACAACCACTCGTAATGAATTCTATCGCAAGCACCCCATGCACTCTATCATGACCAACTACTCAATCAAGTCAATTGCTAAAATAAACAAGTCGAGTCAAGCACTAATATACACCCAAGTTATATAAACCCATGATATACAACCACTCGTAATGAATTCTATCTCAAGAACTTCATGCACTCTATCATGTTCAACTACTCAATCAAGTCAAGTGCTAATTTAAACAAGTCAAGTCAAGAACTAATATAAACCCAAATTATATAAACCCATGATATAAAAACCCATGATATACAACCACTCGTACTAACATTCAATTTCGCAATTGCAATTGCAGTCCCCCCTGCGCATGACAGGCACACCTCAGAACGAACGATACAATATAATGCAATGCTTATGAATCTGTACTGAAATAGACATCGATGGTGTACAACATCTACCCCATCCATCAATACAACTACTCACTAGCACATGATTGCTGGTTGGAATTTGTCTTGTGCTCGGTATCCGTGTGAGCGTCGCAGAACAATTCCGTACGTATATGTATATCACTTCATTACGTATAGGTACATCACCTTCGTCCTCATGCCAATGATTCGAGAAGTACAATTGGAAACACAGCTCATTTGGAAGTTAAGAACTCTCTGACCTGTCGTTGTATGAGATTGGCCAGATCACACGTGGTGGTTAAATACTATGTGTTCAAATATGAAAACACCCAGATGTGTCGAGATCAGAGTGATATAAATCGGGGGTTAAATGGATATAGTATTGAGCGGGCGACAGGTTAATAAGCTTTGTAGACTTGTGAGTTCGGTTGGCTGTTGGCTCTGTTGATGACTAAAGTGTGTCTGCGAGAGGTGGTACATCATCATACGACACATCGACGCAACAGAAACGACTTCCATGGCATTGCAGAGGCATTGCAAAGGATCCAGAATCAACGGACCAACATGAAAACGAAAAACCGATCCCAGCTAATGGTTTATTGCGTTTTTAAGACTACAAAAGCTTAGTAATGTAGGCTGGCGCACTAGAGGCTGTGCATGAGCATTGAGTATTATATCAGTGTAAAATGAAAGCCTTCTGCACTCGCCACAAGCAGCCCTCACACAGGACGCAGACACAGTAGGCACTATCTCATGACACGCTGCACCTGTGTCTCCCTGTCTATAGCACACCCCAACATATGCACCCCCCCCCCCAGCCTATGAATGATGTCTGATTCTTTGGTCAACCCTAGGAACGAAGTCTGATTGTTTGGTTAACCCTATGAATGATATCTGATTGTTTGGTTAACCCTGGGAAAGATATGTGATTCCTTGGTTAACTCTAATAACTGATTGTTTGGTTGACCCTATGTATGATATCTGATTGTTTGGTTCACCCTATGGATGTTTGACCTCATGGATGATATCTGATTCTTTGGTCAACACTATGGATGATATCTGATATTTTGGTTAACGTTATCAATGATATTCTTGGATAACGCTATGAATGATATCTGATTCCTTTTATAACCGTATGAATGATATCCTTGAAGAACGCTATGAATGATGTCTGATCCCTCGGTTAACCCTAAGAATGATATGTGATTCTTTGGCTACACATGCCCCGCATGTCTTGTTCGCTGCATGATCATGTATGTATGGTACAACAGAACGAGCGTTGCGCCACCTAATTTGTCCATCGTGCTCAAAAGGATCCACGCCTCCAAGCCAGTGAAGTAAGCGATAGTGTAGCTTCAACGGCTGCTGTGCACTTTGCCTGTGTATGCTTACAGTAATAAGAGCACCCAAACGATCGCAACACCATGCGGGAGTCATCTGTGGCATAGCTTGAAGGCTTGCTAAGACTACACTTGACTGGTACGCAGTTGGATGGCTGAGCAACTGACACCATGAGTCACAAACCCGACAATCCTGAACACACACTGTGACATCGATGTGCACTTATGCACAACAAGTGGGCGCATCTTGTACGAGTACATGGGCGTACACAGTCTCCGGACTCAGCAAACGACGTTTCTCTTGCGAAACAACGGAATTATTTAACTTAACCACACGGACGTCTCTCTGGTGTCTTCCACCTCCATTTGACTTAACCACACGTGCGTCTTCCTTCTGTCGTTCACCTCCATTTAATTTAACCACACGTACGTCTGCCTTTTGTCTTTCCCCTCCATTTAACTTAACCACACGTAGGTCTCCCTGGTGTCTTTTACCTACGAGCGTCTTACTACCTTTGTTACGTACCACGATGCATCCGCGTGATCCCCAGCTACCATTAACTCCATCTCTATCTCTTCTACATGTACATATACATGTAATGTAGTACGTACGTGTGAGTGCACACGAATGCCCTTCCAAGCACCTAGCATAGGTTAGTGCCTTCTAAACACTATGCTACGAATGCATATGATTGGTCAAACAGTTAGCGTTTAATCCAAGCACAACCCTTCAGCCTGTCCACGCCTATATCTACTATATTATGTCTTGACTATGCAAGCACTAATACACTTCGGAATCGCATCAATACGCGTGCCTTTCCCCGCTCCCCTTTCCCGTGAAGAGTTCTTCAGCCCACAAGTGTATCCTCTGTCAAGACGGTTCACGTCTCCAATCCAATGCCACATCGCACTACGCTAATACCAATTCCTTGCACCCACCTGAAGCAAATTGACAGAGACGCCCACACTTTCATCCACCAAAAGCCCAGTGAGCGTCTAGCCGAGCCAGCGCTCACTCGTAGATCATCTGCACTCATTCTTAAATCATATCCATTCGCCTATAAATCGTCTTCACTCATTCTTATCATCTGCACTCACCCCTAAACCATCTCCACACGCGTTTGAATCATCTTCACTCATTCTTGAATCATCTCCACTCGCGCTTAAATCATCTCCGATCATTCTTATGTTCATACCCCAACATCGGACGCAGCAGGTCGAGCATAGGCACCGCTCACTCGTCACCATAAAGCAGCACTGCAGTGTCATGCCCATCCATGACACTGCAGAGAGAGAGCTAGTGAACAGGACTGCTGGTCTCGCTGGCGGAGGATGGCTTGGTCTTTTCTTTGCGGCGCATAGAGAGATTGCTGCCTGTGCTGCGCATGCTGGTCCCTCGCACGCAGAACGAGGTAGCGCGGTTGATAAACGTTGAACGCTTTCCGTCAGGGCTGTTGTTAGACAGTGTGTCCCCTTCCCCCTCCTTGACCTGTTCCATGCCTTTTAAGCTGTCGGCGTGATCGCTGTTGCTGTTGTTGCCTGGGGTGTCTGAGAAGTTGTCATCGCTTGCGTTGTTGCTGACTGAGGCTGATCCTGCGCTGTAGGAGAAACTACCACAGCGCAAGCGGTGCATGCCCTGGCCTTTGGCGCTGTCCTTGGAGTTCGGTTTGCGCCGGAAAGAAAACCGGCTCTTCTGCTTCTCTTCATCACCAAAGTACACACCCTGAGCAGTCAAGAACTCGTGGATATCCTCCTCCTCTTCCTATTGCGTTGTGCCAGTGAAACGAACAAACCGTATATTTGGTGAGCAGCTGAGGGTGCCAGCGGTGTCAATAACACACATCACAGCATGTAATAGACGGAGTATAGTGCTACCGCATCGCCACATGTGAATAGTTGCTGGACCAGCAAATGGTGTTCGCAACGGATGCATTGTTATGAACGGACAAATCAAATGTATAAAAACAACAAGAAACCTGAAGAAAAATATACACGCGATCAAAACACAGTCATCCCAGAGTAAATGAAAGCGTAATGTGCTAGTTAAAATTCATTAGCAGTCCAGAGTATCTTTTTATATAGTTGCCAAACTAATAAAATAACAAACATAAACACTATACTATTAATAATGATAATATATATGTTATATATATATACATATATATAAATATATACATGCATGGATGTATGTAAGTCGGTGAGGAAGTAAGAAAGTAAGGAAGCAAGCAAGAAAGTATATATAAATATAAATAAACATATAAATATATATACATACACACACACACATATATATATATATATATGTGTGTGTGTATAATAATAAATAAACAGATATATATTTACATGCATATATATATATATATATATATACATATATAAATATACATATATATATGCATATACATGTAACAGATAAAAACAAATATATATTCACATGAATTTGTATTTATATATATATATATATATACATATGTATATATATACATATACATACACATATATATATATACATATATGTGTCTAAATGTATGTATGTTTGTGTGTATGTTTTTATGTAAGTATATGCGTATGAATATACACACGGCGATATGTACGTACAAATATATATACACATTGTATATATAAATATATATATGTATATATATATAGCGATATATATTCGTTAATATTATATATATATAGTAATATATATATATGTTAATATATATAAATATGGAACATAGGTATATATGTAATACATGTATAAATAGATATATACATATACATATATATATATATATACATACATATACAATATGAATTAATATTTTAAAATTTTATGTTCACACACTGAGGCATAGACATAGACACAGACACAGTCACATACATATCTACACACGCACACACACACACACAATATATATATATATATTTATATGTATGCTTATATATATATACATTTGCAAATATGTATAGATATACATAAACACTTAAGTACACACATGGATACATTTTATTTCGTCATACACACACACACACACACACGTACACGTACACGTATATATATATATATATATATATATATATATATATATATATATATATATCTATGTATATATCTATGTATATATCTATGTATATATCTATGTATATATCTATGTATATATATCTAAAACCATTGCACTTGACATATAGAAAATTCTTAGTAATAATTCTTCTGCAACTATTGTATTCAATAGTACTAGCTGAAGGACCTGTATAGTCCCTTGCTATGTCCTTGCACAAAGAGATTTAAATAGCGGAATAGGATCAGTTGTTAGGTATACCTCTGATACCAGCCACACTTCCAGATACATAGGTCGGCTATCGAGTCCTCTAAAATATTCGTGCAGTTGGTTGTCAGGAATTTTGGGTTCAACCTTGATGATATGCGTATTCTCCACATCTAACTTGGGTCTCCCTGCGGCTCTGTGACCTAACTGTGGCAGCGCAAGTATCAAATATTTCGGTTGATACCCCCCAGCTGTTTTCTGCAAGGTTACAATTTTTTTATAGATCAGAATAGGAAAGGTGGCGAGTTTGTATATAAATTATGTGAACGGCACGCATGAACTGTATCGATATCAGTGTCTACGAGATTAAACTACAAAATAAAACTCTACATTTTGGTTGGCAGCACGGATACTCGGAAATCACATCAATACAAGCAAAATGACAACAGCAGCCAAAGGATGTAGCAGTGAATTCAAAAACAATCACCCACCACCACCTCACACCACAATCACACACTCTGCAGACAGCACAAAAACATACAACCACATACTCTCACGATCTTTTCGACGTTGTCCATCCACCCAAGCATCGGCTGTGCAAGTGGACGTGCTTTGGACGTATCGTACTGGCGCACCAACACCTTCTCATTAATGAACTTGAACAGTTCCTGTGTTTGTGCCATATTCGGACAAAATTTTCACTCTACAGTGCGTGTATATTGTAATTGTGTGTGAGTATGAAGGCAGATGTAATCTGAGGTAAGATATAGCCTCGATTTTACCTAGATCACAGTGTAGAATATTCCCTTTCACCGATGATTCCAATGTAAGTTATTGCTTTTTGTTGATACTAGAGTCGATTCAGGAAACGTATAAACGGCACAAAATCGTCAATTCACTTCAAGAGAGTAGAGAGAGGGTTAGGTGGCAAATGATATGTATAGTGCACGTGTGCGACGATTGTTCAGTTAATACTTATGAAGCTTTTCAATTCCGACTGGCTAGTAATAAATACATCTGCAATCACAAGTTCTTAACTATAAATAGTAAATCACTGCGAGTTAAATACCTCACCACTCGTCAGTTCGCGCATGACGCCGATGGGGTAAAATCTATTTCCAACGGTGCTTGAATTTTTAGAAAACAAAACAAAAATGAAAACAAATAAAAACTGATATGTATTTATGATAAATATAGCCTATGGGCTATGGCTATGGGTCGAAAACTTGAAATTCGAAAACAAAACAAAATGACACAACACACTCCAGTAAATACTCGAGGAGTCCACACTCCACGATCCACAGTCTCACACAGTCACACAGACACACATCGCTGGGGGTTTTGTTTTGTTTTTGTTTTGGTGTTAAAAAACCCAAACGTCAAAAACAAAAACAAAAAAAATCAAAAATGTGTAAATATGTAGAAAAAAAAATCACACCCTTCTTCTAAATATACGTTGAAGATTCAGAAGGCTAAATATGTAAAGTCATGACCATCATAATTTTTTTTTAAATAATTTACACAGAGTGAAAATTGGGCGAAAGGACGACTAGTGGACGAGTCACGACTCACGAGAGTCTGTCAGACTCAGGAGTCAGGGCTCACAAGAAGAAGAGTTTAGGAAATTCAAATTAGGACACTCTCTAGTCGAGCCTCAACGAGTCCACAGACCACTAAAACCCTAAAAACGCGCAAAAAAAAATGTAAACACAAGTCAAACACCCCCCATTACCTTAGGCCCATATTTACCTATTTCCAGTTTTCCACCTCCAGAATGGTGAATATTGGAGAAATCATGATTTCTCACCGCGCCACTGCCCTCTGTGCCATTGTGGCATGTGCCCTGTGGCGAGGTGACTGAGCCGTCCAGGTCTCTCTGATGACTGATTGACTGTCTGTCGTCTGACTCTGTGTATTTAAATACAGCATACTATGTGCTCGCTCATAGCTCTGTATTTATTTATCTACTCTCTAAATGGAGGAAAAATTGGGAAACGAGAATGTGGATTGTGGCGGCGCCGCCTTCTAAAGTTCTGGGACCCCAGACATTTTTAAAAAATACAAGGACTCAAAATGAAAAAATCTGTACGTATTCTTTTTTATATTTACTTTTTAAATCAAACAAATAGGTACATATGTATAAAATATGTACGTACATATTTATATTTTATATTTTTCTGAGTTATATTTGTATATCTATCCAAACAAAACAAAAAGCTGAAAGCTACAAAAAATATGCAGGCCCCCTGGCGCCGGCCGGGGACTTTTTATTAACGCCCGAGCCCGTGTCCCAAACCGTATCCGGTCCGTTCGCAAAGGTAGGGATGATATTTATGGGCCCACGGCCCCACGCCCCACGCCCCACGGATGGAGACTTTGGCCCAAGTACCGAATTATTTTAAGCGTGTACAGTGTACTCTGTACACCGCAAAAAAAAAATCTTTACCGATACAACAGTCCAGTATAGTTTTCGGTATATAATCTAAACCTATCACCTGAAATAGAATACAACGCCTCAGAGTCTCTGACTCTACTAGAGAGTATAGAGAGCCAATGTTCTGTTAAACCTGTGAGCGTGAATTCGTGGATCCATACCTCTGAGGCCTAACCTCAATAAGTTTTACGTCAAAACTTTTATTTTATAAAAAGTTTTTAGGTTAAAGTTTAACTTTTATAGCTGATTGACTATGGCAGGTGCCTTTTTCAGGTCAGCATAGTTAAGCGCAAATAAAAAAATTGGCCTATTTTTTGGCGGTCGCTCATGCGACACTCACCATAAACATAAGTCCTTAGTTACCCGGTCAGTGACTATGGGGCGTGCTGCGGATCTTGTTCGGAGTCATATTTTTCAGATCGGTTTGAGAAGGCCGTTCTAATATCACAATGCATCTTCTGCATGAGACTTCAAGAAGTCTAATATTCAGCAGTTAAAGTGGCATCTAGCGAATGATAAAAAATGTCCAACGCCTTTGCCCACTAGGGAAAATTTGATCGAAGATATCAATACAATCAACGCGACTAGGCCGTGAAGCGCAAACGATTTACGAACGAAGCGGAAGCTGAGAAGAAGCAAAAGACTCTCGATGGACATGGTCGTGGCTCCTTCACAATTTTTAATATGCAGGAAGCGGATGACGCCTTTGTCAACTTAGTCTATTCTGGCATAATAGACGCTAACGCTTTACGATCTAGTCATTTCAAGAGGACCATATCAGCAGCTATCACAGACGGATCGAGTTACCATCTTATCTCCCCTCAACGAGTAATGGATGATAAACTTATACATACTGTACTGAAGCTGCGTACATACGTTAATGTGCAGTGTGGCGAGGCATTGAGGCAGTTTGGCGGATCATTGGCCATGGATTCTGCGACTGTCAACAAAGAAATTGTAACTGGTTTAGCCGCGCTATCGCCAAGTCTAACACATGCAGTATCGGCTGGTATATTTATTCAATCTATCGACACTTAAAGCAAGCAGTTTGAGTAAAGGTATCCAAGTCTAAGCCGATTCAATTGGTTATGTTCTCGATCAATTTTCTAGAAATGGAATCGATATCGTTGTGAATAACACGGACACGGCTGTCGATTGTGTAGGAATTGCGGAAATACTAAAAAAGAGACGATCTCACCTAAACTTTTGCCCAGATTCGGCACATGTGGCAAATTCGGTATTGGAGAACGCATGTGAGAACATTCCGGTAGTAAAGAAATGACTTATCGGAGTTGATAGTATATGCAAATACTTTACCGGTTCTAGTTTTATGATGACCCAATTGAAACAAGAGACAGCTAAGATTAACAATGGTAGGTTGTATATAGTAGCTAATTTCTTTATCTAATTTGATCATACAGAATACACGTTTTCAACTGCACATATCTCTAAGGGATCGACGGATTTCACACCTAATCTCCTTATAGTGTACCAAAGTTTTGTGCATAGACTAATGTAATTATGTACTGATACTTACTTGTTGCTACCGTACACCACAATGCTTACTGCTTGCAGGACGATCTTTGGATCTACCGGCCGGCGAGTGTGACTCGCGCTATGCTTAAAGAGTCATGCGAGGATTTAGAGTTTGGATGCTCATTAAATATCTACGTGCTATCATCGCTTCTACAGAGTATGATCAGAACTTGTCAGGAAATGTGAGTAATATCGCGGACGGTGTCTCAACGCGTGTGGCCAAGAAAAACGACAAAGTAGAAGGCTTGATAAACGATGACAAGTGGAACCACGAGGGCCTAGCTATTAGTCGCTGCCTCTGGCCTCTTTTTACACCAGCCTCTTAGTAATGCAGACAGTGAGGCAAGTACTTCGACAAAGTATTAAGATGCATCTATGATGTTGACAAACAGCTAAAAAAAGTTAACTATGGTCGATGACGATGAGGTGTTGAGTAGTATAGAAAATAGTATTGCAAGAAGTTGGAATGATAACAACCGTGCTCATTGGGATTATATCCGCGATGTATATTTCCTAAAATTCTCTGCTATGTTGAATCCAAAAAAAAAAATTGTATGCCAGCCATGGGAGAAGCCGGGATACCGTCACAGTATGAAAGTAGTTTCAGGCGGAATGTGGTTGGTGGAAAGAGAGTATGAGGCTCGAGATAATTTTGGAATCAAATCAAGTGACCGAATCCCATTAGAAATACGTACCGATATTATAGCCGAGGAGCAAAAAAATCTAGCAGCGTTGGCGTATGAGGCGGATGCATTCTCTTCAAGAAAGAGGTATTTGCAGAGAGAGCCTTCTCCTATGCACACAGCCCATTAGGACCGGCAGAGTGGTGAAATTCAAACGGTTCTGATGCTGCACCTACGATCTTTAAATACTGTAAGAAAATGTTCACAACTGCAAACATGACAGAGCAAGAGACGCACTGGAAAATGTACAAGGACTTGTTCAAGTAAGGCAAAGTACGATATGATAAAGAGTAGTGGATACACTGGGCCTTTGCAGATCAAGACTTGTTTCCTCACTGAAATAAGGTCAAACTTACATCTTACCGATCAGGATTCATGGGGACTTGCGAGCGATGCGACTTGGGTAGATACAGATAGGTAAAAAAAATAGCGAAAAGTATTACGACGAGTTCACACGCTTTTGCGTGACCAAGTTTGAGAATGAATCAAACGATGAGATTGTGATCAATCCTGCACTTGCCCAGTAACCCAGAGTAGTATAATGCTACATTGAGGACTTCGAAACATTCATATTGAAGAAAACCAAGGCTAACAAGGAAACATTAACACGCTAGTATTACGGGCTATTCCTAGAGACCAAACCGGGTGCACAAAAGTATGTGATTGATTGCGTGTCTTGGATTAAGGGTGAGAAATACGTCACACGCATCAGTCCTTTGAATGAAGATGGGAGCAGTTTCGGTAGAGGGCATATGGAGACCTTGAAGAAAATGAGAATCAACTACGGTCTGTGGCGAAGTATATAACGTGTGACGGATCATGGTAACAATAAGGCTACTAGGTTTAGAGCCAAACAACTAGAACCAGCGAACAAACCAAAGGGTCACACAGAAAGAAACAGTTGAAGACTCGGACGATGATGAAGAAGATGACGAATTTGACACAGCAGAAGCAGCAGCCGAATCTGACCCAGAAGCAGTGAGAGAAGAATCAGACTCATGTGAGCTTGGAGTGACAGATGAATTAGACCTGAATATGGACACAACAAACATACCAGTGCCAACGCCAGTAACAGCGGACTCTGAAGATGATTCTGCTGAGGACGATGAGGATATTTTGGACGATGTACAACCTGGCACCACCAAAGTACCAGCCAAGAAGTCTGTTGGAAAGAAGGTCACTGCTAAGAAGATGCCTGGGACAAAACTACCAGCCAAGAAAACACCCGTTACCAAGACAACGATGAAGATAGCTAGCAAAAAGGCGCCTACCAAGACTTCAACCGGTACATGTAATAGCCGGGCCTCCACATTAGACTATGTTATAAATGTACTCTTAAGCAGTACGTAAACTATAAACGTACTCTTAATAGTACAAGGAACTTAAGTTTCCTAAATGGGTTTTAACGGTTTTATTAATTAATACCTATTCCATTTTACATATCAGATATTTGGACGAGGCCATTAAAAGGCCCCAGTAAAGGACCAAACATAAGATTTGGTCTAGTTCTATTAATAGAACTATATTTACTTTCCAAATCTATTTTTATATATGAATACTTCGGTAGCGAGATGGCTCAACCGAATATAGGTTTCTCGGGACTATTAGCGTTTCCTAGTTTAACCTCCGATCAGCCAACCATATGTGCCAGCCTGATGAAGGCTAAGTCGGTCATTCTTGATAAGTGGCAAGTTATTGGTTAATGCAATAACTAAGGACATCAAGAGTATTTTTCTTTTTTCTTCTATTTTTTTCTAAAGATAGAACGAGTCTCTCGGATTCGCCGAAACGAAACATATAATAGTTTCTATTAGAGCGACAACGAAACACTAAATAAAATACCATCGGCGAAAACAGTACTGAGAGGATTATATACAGGCAATATCTCAGCCTCACAATCCCTCAGAGTATTGCTGTTTTCACGAGGCATACCTAACTTTACTAAAAAGACTCATTTTGCTTATTTACTTTGAATTTGACGATACTTAGACTTTACCTACGCGTTTAATTACTCTAAGGCGTTAATATCGCCTTGATAGACCGAATCTTACACATTTTAAAGCTAGCAAAGGTATTAATTACTTAGACTACTTAAACGTAAAGGTAGATAACTACCACAAAAAATTCGTGTCCAAGCTAGTCCTTAAGAGATCAGCTAGCAGTCATAACTTAAGATTATGACCAAGAAAGACAATACTCCATCTAAGAAGCGTAGAGCTGAAAAGAAGAGGATGGAGATAGACGCCGCTGCTGCTGCCGCATTTAACGCGACTGCAGAAGAGGAAACCCAATCCGTAACAGAAATCATTGCTACTGGTATTAATAACAAGGACAATACAACAGATAAGGGTGAGGACACTCCATTAAGAGAGACGTCCCCTGAAGAAAGAGCCTGCGGGCCAACTATTGCGTCCGCTTCGAAGCTTACGTTTACGAAGTCAAGAAGCGACGCAAAAGGATCGGTTAAGACGATTCTCACTAATCCTGATGAGAACACGCAGAAGGATCTAACTCCAATTACGGAGAAAGGAGACAACCCGCTTAAGAGAGAGGATGAGAAGGAAAGCTCAAAGAGCCGACCCGAATCAGAATCAAACCAGCCATCGCACATAAGTAAGTTGATCAATGAGAACACTGAACTTAAGAATCAGTTAGCCGCTTTTAAGAAGCGACTGACCATTGAACAGGTAGAGAAGATGTATCAGTCAGGTGAGAAAGCAAAACGCTTACGCGAACATATTTCTCCCGGTACTACTTAAGCTCTTGAAAATTGGACTGCCCGTCAACTGGAAAAGCCAGTCACGGACGAGCCCGAACTACCCGGTTTTCCGATATCCTACGCGAATTTAAACTCCGAAGAGCAGGCACTATTCACGCCAGGAGTATCCCCTGGACATGAGTCTCCAATTCTCGAGGATATTATAAACCCCGAGACAAGAAAGAAGACTCAGCAGGAGTTTCCCCATTCGGAAAAGGCCCCACGCCATGTACCAAAGTCTACGGGATATAGTCTTCCTATGCATCAAGACCCACAGGTGATTATACCACCTGAGCTTCACATTAACGAGAAGCGTAAGTCTTCTTGTAATTATGGACTTTGTGGCACATTCTCGAAGCACTAAAGCTGCCCGTAGGCGCGCCAACGACATCGAGTTTAATCGAGTCGATCGGTACGCTATTCAGCAGCCGGCCGAAGATTTCCAATCTGAAGAGGTAACCGCGCTAAATCAGGCCGTAGATGATTGTACTCTGCAGATGGAGATGGCGCCTGACTTACACGACGCTAGTGACGTCACCTACTACGCTAATCTAATCGCAGTCCAGGGCTCAGCTCAATTTCAGCCGAGCCAGCACCAAACACTACCATACAGAGCTACATATTGAAGCTCGATGCTGATTTTCAACGTCCCGATATTAAGAAGGACACGATACAGCGATGGTACAAGTTTCTGGCTATGCATTTGTTCTGTAAGAGCATAAGCAATAATGACCGAGAAAGTTTGTATACTAAACTTAGACGTAAGTACGCAAACGAACCTCGATATTTAGGTCACGAAGCAAAGTTTCATCTGACCCGCCTTGAATGGGACAAGTTCTATCAAACTGTGTCCACTTTATATACTTCCAGTCGAGTAACCTCGCAGGCGAAGGCGGTTGTTAAGAAACCGTGGGAGCAGACCGATCAAGGGTACGTATCCAGGCAGACCTCCAACGAGAGACCCCAACATACACGTCCACGTGAATCTACTCAATTTACACGCCCTGTTATGAAGGTGCGTGCGGAGCACAAGGAACCTGCATACAAGCAAGTTAAGAAATATACTGATGAGAAATGTGGTTATGACATGTACCAGTTAACTCCTAACGGTTACTGGAACGGAAAGCATGCCCAATCTTGTAAACACTATCTTACAAAATGCGATAAATTTGTGAAGACCAATGGCTACCACACTAAATTGTGTAACGTCAGACCCGACATTAAGTTGAACTGACGATACTACCGGGTACAATCGATACACAGACAGTACAACAACTCTTTAGATGAGCGTGTAATAATCCCTGTAAAGTCCAATGGAAATAAATTCTTTGCGTTGATTGATCCTAATTCTGAAATTTCATGTATATCCGATCGCGTTGCATTAATGAAAGATATCGAAAGGAGAACACAAACAACTCACCTCATTTTAGCTGATGAGAAAACCTCCAAGTGTGAAACTATGGCAAAAGATGTTGAGATCTCGTTGGCCGATGATAGGAGTATCACTACCCAAGCTGTGATAGTTAAGATGTCACAGAAGTACGACATTATAGTCGGAATGAGCGACTTACTCACTTTAGGTATAACCGTAACTGGTTTACCAAATAACATAGATCCATTAAAGGATCAATCAGACGATAACTGTCTGAAACCATATAAGCCCCCGTCAGACACAGTCAAGGCATTAATACCTGACTTTGTGAACAAAATCATGGATCTGATTCTTGTTAATGTGAAAATAAAGATCACAGATTGGGCAAAATTCCGCTTTAACGACGGATATGTCAGCCTTGACTTAACCAAGGTAGACTTTACACAGTTAAAGTGTCCCTCAAGGAACTATCTATCCTGGAGACACGAGGCTGTGGTAAAAGAACAAGTTCAGAAATGGCTAGCAGATGGTATGACAGAAATTAACTATCAACAGACGCCAGTTAACTTGGCATTGTTAGCCGTAGACCAACATAACTCTGACCGATCATTTAAGAACGTCAGAATATATTTAGATATGAGTCCGATAAATAAATTTTTGCCGACGCATAGCTTTCACCTACCTTGTATTAACGAGCTACTGCGAAGGAAGGAAGGTGCTACATTATTTACAACTATAGACCTTACACAAGGATACCATCAAATGCAGATATATGAACCGCATCGTAAATACTTTAGTTTTACATGGAAAGGTAAACAATACAGATTCAGATGTGTATCTATTGGGCTGC